GAAGGTCAAAAAAGCTAGGATTTGCAATTTTGGACAAAATTCAGCATTTCAGATAGTACACTCACCTTAATTTTTTTTATAACTTTTTCAAATCAACTTGGATTTTCATCAAACTATGCAGCTATATTAGTAATATATTGATCTTACTCAATCACAGGTCATTATGTAGTTTGGTGTGTTGCTTACAAATTTCTAGGTAAAAAAAGATTGAATTTGCAGTTCGGACTATATTCAGATACCTAACCCTAATTTTTTTTATAACTTTTTCAAATCAACTAGGATTTTCATCAAACTATACAGCTATCTTAGTAATATATTGATCTTACTCAATCACAGGTCATTATGTAGTTTGGTGTGTTGCTTACAAATTTCTAGGTAAAAAAAGATTGAATTTGCAGTTCGGACTATATTCAGATACCTAACCCTAATTTTTTTTATAACTTTTTCAAATCAACTAGGATTTTCATCAAACTATACAGCTATCTTAGTAATATATTGATCTTACTAAATCATAGGTCATTATGTAGTTTGGTGTATTGCTGTCAAATTTAAGGATTAAATTAATCTAGGTCCAAAAAGCTTGAATTTGCAGTTCCGACTATATTCAGATAGTACACCTTAAATCTTTTTATAAGTTTTTCAAATCAACTTGGATTTTCATCAAACTATACAGCTATCTTGGTAACATATTGATCTTACTGAATCAAAGGTCATTATGTAGTTTGGTGTATTGCTGTCAAATTTAATCTAGGTCAAAAAAGGTATGATTTGCAATTTTGGACAAAATTCAGATAGTACAATTTAATTTATTTTATAACTTTTTCAAATGGACTGGGATTTTCATCAAACTGCACAGCTATCTCAATTACATATTGTTCTTACAAATTCTAAAGTAATTTGCCATTTTGGTTTATTCTGGTCAAATTGTATGTTTATTTGATAGGTGGAAACAGGTACAATTTTCGGTTCAGAGTAAATTCAGATGGTCAACCTTAAACATTTCTATAACTTTATCAAATGTATTTGGATGTTCATGCAACTTGACAGCTATCTCAATAAGATACTGTTCTTACTAACTGCAAAGCAATTTGGCATTATGTATTACTCCGATCAAATTATATATTTTAATTGATAGGTGAAAAAGGAGCTAAAATTGTCATTTCGCACTCAAATCAGATAGTCACCCTTAAAAATTTCTATAACTTTTTCAAATCAACTGGGATTTTCATCAAAGTGGACAGCTATCTTCATTAGATATTGTTCTTACAAATTATAAAGTAATTTGCCATTTGGGTTGATTACTGTTAAACAGTATGTCTTAATTGAGAAGTGAAAAGACCTAGAATTTTCACTTCAGACTAAATTCAGATAGTCGCCGTTAAAAATGTCTATAACTTTTTCAAATCAACTTGGATTTTCATAAAACTTGACACCTATCTCAATTATATACTGTTCTTACACATGACAGAGTCATTTGGCATTTGATTTGATTACTGTGAAACGGTCGGTTTTAATTGAGAAGCCAAAAAAGCTAGAATTTTAAGTGCGCACTAAATTCAGATAGTCAACCTTAAACATTTCTGTAACTTTTTCAAATCGACTGGGATGTTCATGAAAGTGGACAGCTATCTCAATTAGATATTGTTCTAACAAATTACAAATCATCCATGTCTCGATAGGCTTATAACTTTTTTTTGGTAAAAAGTGTTTTCATACTTTTTACTTTTTTTTCCACAAATGGCCTTCAAAAGTCACTTTTCTTATTTCTCAACATTTTTCATCAAGACTAACGTTTTCGAAAAGTTTACTTTATTGCGAACAAAATGATATATAGTTTGATAAGGTTATTACTATTTCTGTCAAAAGTTATTTTTAAATTTTTGAAATTTTTTTATTTTTTTTTAAGAAATAACCTTCAAAAGTCACTTTCCTTATTTCTCAACATTTTTCATCAAGACTAACGTTTTCGAAAAGTTTACTTTATTGCGAACCAAATCATCCATGCCTCGATAGGCTTATCACTTTTTTTTGGTAAAAAGTGGTTTCATACTTTTTACTTTTTTTGCCACAAATGGCCTTCAAAAGTCACTTTTCTTATTTGTCAACTTTTTTCATCAACACTAACGTTTTCGAAAAGTTTACTTTATTGCGAACAAAATCATCCACACCTGATAAGGTTGTAACTATTTTTTTGTATAAAGAGGTTTAATAAATTTTTTTTTCTCTCACAGAAATGGCCTTCAAAAGTCACTTTTCTTATTTCTAAACATTTTTCAGTGACACTGACATTTTTCAAATTCCTATTTTCTCCCAAGCAAAATGATATATGGTTTGATATGCTTATAAATACTTTCAGTAGAAACAGGTCTTCATATGTTTAAAGGTATTATTTTTTTTCAGAAATGCCTTTCAAAAGCTAGATTCCTTCATTTTCAACATATCTTAACGAATTTTCCCACAAAACCATCAGCAATTATTCACAAAGAAAGCCAGCCCACTCAATAATGATTCGTCGACTCTTACACACTTTAATTTGAGATTTTATATGTAAAACCTACAAATTTTACAATGTTTTTTAACGAAAATTGCATCTTGCAACTTTATTTAAAAACTCACTTTTGTCATTCTTTACACGTTAGAAACTACAGTAACAGACTGACCAGAACCTAATTTTAATGAAGTGAGTAGCTTTCCAAATGACAAAGATATAACAGTTTTAAACTTTTTTGAAAACACAATCTCTCTCCAAAAACTAGTCACTTATACATTTCCACATGGCTTAATCCGGGTGCTTTCATTGCAGTCCGCGTGTAGCATATAATTAACTGCGCAATGACTAATATCTTCATTCCATTCTTGACATCGGTAATAGAACATGCCACCCAAGCTAAAGGTAAGCACATCTTAATTGAAATGTTTTTCTGCATGTTGTTAATTTTTAGTCGAATGGTTTTAAAAGTGGTTTTTAAATTTTTGAAGATTTTTTTTATTTTTTTTTACACAAATGGCCTTCAAAAGTCACTTTTCTTATTATTCAACATTTTTCATCAAGACTAACGTTTTCGAAAAGTTTACTTTATTGCGAAACTAATCATCCATGCCTCGATAGGCTTATCCCTTTTTTTTTTGGTAAAAGTGGTTTCATACTTTTTACTTTTTCTTCCACAAATGGCCTTCAAAAGTCACTTTCCTTATTTCTCAACATTTTTCATCCAGACTAACGTTTTCGAAAAGTTTACTTTATTGCGAACTAAATCATCCATGTCTCGATAGGCTTATAACTTTTTTTTGGTAAAAAGTGTTTTCATACTTTTTACTTTTTTTTCCACAAATGGCCTTCAAAAGTCACTTTTCTTATTTCTCAACATTTTTCATCAAGACTGACGTTTTCGAAAAGTTTACTTTATTGCGAACAAAATGATATATAGTTTGATAAGGTTATTACTATTTCTGTCAAAAGTTATTTTTAAATTTTTGAAGATTTTTTTTTTTTTTTAAATGACCTTTAAAAGTCACTTTCCTTATTTCTCAACATTTTTCATCAAGACTAACATTTTTCAAAAGTTGACTTTATTTTGAACAAAATCTTCATTGCATTGATAGGGTTAGAACTTTTTTTTGGTAAAAAGTGGTTTAATACTTTTCATTTTTTTTTTCTAAAAATGGCCTTCAAAAGTCATTTTTTTATTTCTCAACATCTTTCATCGAATCTAACTTTATTGCGAACAAAATCATCCATACCTTGATAAGGTTGTAACTATTTTTTAGTATAAAGTGGTTTAATATTTTTTTACTGCAATATGTTTTATTTCAAAGGAAATTATTTATGGTTTGATAACGGTATTACTAATTCAAATGTAAAGTGGTGGTAATAATATGTGAACGCATATCAACTTAAAACATTAAACATTTTTCCATTACAGTGCAATCAGTGTCAGAAAGACTTCTCCAGTAGATCTGGGTTGAAATACCATGTAGAGAGTATTCATCAGGGTGTGAAGTTTACCTGTGATCCATGTGGGAAAGAGTTCACAAGAAAAGACAAACTACGTGCCCACCTTCTGAAAAGGCATTCACAGGTACAATATATGATATCAGAATGCATTTTCTGTTAAATTAGATAAGAAGGTAATTTACGCCGCTTTCTATTATTTAATGAATTTGAATCACTTGATCCTACTGGCGTGACAATGAGATAAAAATTTGACGTTGTCTACGGTCCGGGGTAGTATTTATGAACGAAATATAGTGATACTAATAAAGTTTATGTTTTTATTAATCAGGAAAAGAAGAAAACAGAAAAGAAGGCCCGTGTAAGTTGTCTTTATTTATATTACTGGAATGAGGTATTAACTGTTATGAAATGAAAGTCAGTAATGGATAAAAAGTAATCCCAAATTCAAACAATAAAGAATATCTTTGATTAACAAAGAGAAAAACAAATTCACAAGTAACTGCAAGTCATGGGAATCGGTAGGAGATGATTTGTCACTGAAGATGACATATTGACATTTTGGAAGATTATTTTTATTTACATTTACATTTATAATCCGTTCATTTCTTTATTAACAGTGTGCAAAGTAGCCAATTATAGATAATATTTGTAGGTATACAGATGCCAGGTTTGCAGTGTAGTGTTTGCCGGCACAGGTGCACTGTCCAATCACAGAAGAACCCATACAGCAACTAGATTCACCTGTACCTGTGGGAAAATGTATACCAGAAAAGAAAGCTTGGTTAACCACCAAAAAAAGAAACACCAGCAAGTAAGTTACAAATAAATGTAGTGATTTGACCAAGTATAACCCTTTTCAATTTATACATGTTTTTTTTATGTATTTCATTATATGTTACCATATTTAAGTAATTATTTCAGATTTCGTTATATAACATATACACAAAATATTGCAGCATAATGTTTGTGATACGTAATACAATTTTAACTCCCACTAATGAAGCTTTAACTTTTGTAAATAACTCACAGAAGAGGGCACCACATACATAACGGATTGGAATGTTCATATGGAAGGGAATGGACGGGATTGAGAAATTGGTGGAAATTGAATGGACACCCTGTTACAAAAGAAGAGGAAAGGATTAAATGAATGTCTCTCATATTGAGATAAGAAACGAAGAGGAAGTAAGAATTACCAAAAGTGATAGTATTTATAATGAAATAATGGTTGTCAAGAAAAAGAAATGAATATACTGGATGCTACAAAGCATCTAGTATAAGGAGCGTAAAGGCAGTGTGAATTAACAAGAATTTGTTTGTTTTTTTTTTGGATAAAATAACTCTATTTTTACTATTTACGATATTCAGGGTGTTAACTCCTTTTAAACTGTTTTACGTTAAATAGAAATCAAATAAGATATCTCCTATTCCAGTTACTGTTACTGGATATCGCGTCATAAATGTCCAGAATTGTTTTCAAAATATCACATATGTAACCAATAAATGAATATGCAATTTCCATAAGAACGAACATCCATAGGTATGCGTATTTAACTACTACTATTTTTTAGGCAACAGCAACAACGCCGCCAGCAGTGGAACCAGAGGTGAGTGTATGTTCTTATATTATTATGTATATGGCGTTAAGAAACATAGGTTCATATCAATGTATGAAACATTAAAAGAAATGAAAATAAAAATTTACAAGTATGTATTTATGCCATCTTCAAGCATTCAGACTTTCCTTAATTAATTTCAAGGCAATATTTTTCGTGTAAAAATAGTAATGTGTTTAATGTAAACGATTCTTACGATGACATTTATGAACTGGATATGTAATAACTTCATAATATCCAAGGTGATATTAATAATTCATATTTTTCGGTTATTTCAGGCACCGACTACATCACTGGCTGTCACAGAAAAAAGGAGTACAGTGTCCCAGAACCTTGTTGAGGTTAGTGTATATGGTGATTTATCTTTTGAAATAATTTGCAAAAAGTAAATTTACTGTGGCAAACATGTCATAACCCCTGTACAGCGATGTTGAGAAATGGGCAAACTATAAGTAGTGATTGAAATATTATAACACACATGGTTTCAGTATAATTAATACCAATCTTCTATTTGTGACAGTCAGTTTTTGTACCTTTAAACTTATTATCTTTCAGCCTACCACACCAGCAGCATTACAGTTTCAGCCTACCACAACAGCAGCATTACACTTTCAACCTACCACACCAGCAGCATTACACCTTCCTGAATTTGACCCATTCTTGACAAGCTTCACAGAAGATGACATCAGGTCCCTGTTCAGCTTCGAAGTAGAGGAAGACAGTGCGTAAAAACGTTTTATTTTTATCTGTATAGTTATTTATGTTTAATTAAAACTGTGGTAAAAAAGAAATGTGATTGTTCATGTTGGTATAAGCCAATGCAGGTATGTTCGATTATTTGTATGACTGTTATGTGGGTGGCAATGGTATGTATGTATGACAATTTTTTTATGTATATATGCATGTAATCCTTCAGTGTGTGTTAGCAACTGTAAATACAGTATGTGTGTATTTATGTATGTATGATTGTCTATTACCGCATGTTTGTTTATGAACGTATTAAACAACTTTATACCTAATAGTACACGGCGTTCTGTTCTTTATCTGCATTTATTTTGGGTCATCATGTTGACCAAAACAGTATTTCTGTCCACTACTCACATGTATCGCTTCATGTATTTCGTTGGAGTTCGTATTCCCCACGCTTTACATTTCAGTGTTTTATGATCGTACAACTCTCTCTGGGTTTGTTTGTTTACCAGTCTTCTCGTTTACATATTGTCCTTTGGATACTGATTTCAATTTCCTTTCTGACATTGTTTGATATGTATTTAATACACATGAAGAGGGATATCCAAACACGGGAAACACACAGAACTAGTACTTACACATGACAACAGGTTATTGGTTTATGGTCGCCATCATGAACTGATTGGCTATTGTAACAAAAGTATGTCACAAATTATAAATGATATTCTTCCTAAGTCCCAAGTAACCCTATTCATTACCAGACTGAACACAGAAATAACACGAGGGGTGCCGTATACGATGCAGGAAATGTTTACCCTTATGGAGCACTTGATTTCACTGTCCGTTTTCAGTGTAGTTCATGTTCTTTCGTATTTAATAATATTGTTCAAAATTTCCTTTGTTTACTCCTAGGTTTTGATTGTCACATACCATAATATATTTCGATAAAGACGGGCGTAGAAAAATAAGATTTTATTTGATTGCCGATGAAAACTCTCCATCTAACACCAAGTAGCAACTTGACAGTCAGAATATTTCCATCTGAATTGATGCATTTCAGTCTGATTATATATTTTTTTTTTAATCATCCATTTCATTGAATTAGATCAAACAAATTGTCATCTTATAATCATCCCATGGTGAAACAGTGGCTCATATTGTAGGAAATTAATGCATGCTAATAAAAGAAAGAGGACAACAGACTACCTTTATTCATGAATTACAACATGCATGTCAGATGCCTTTTTGGAACTATATACATGAAATGTGAAATGAAATAAGTTGGAAAATATGTATCGTCACAACGTATATAAATAATGTATAAAATAAATAATGCACACAAAGAATAAGAGAAATAAAAGTTAAAATGTCATACTGTCAAACAGACAGGCATCATGATTGTCTTAATTCATGATTGTACAAAAACATATGTTTAAAAAGAAATGTTGAACGTAACAATGTTCAAATGTTTATGGCCAGCTGGATATCCGTGGACGTAATGGTCGTTCTTTTGGCGTTAATTGCTCACAAGTCACTGTCTGTAAACAATCATACAAGGTAAGCTTCAGCATTGGCTTCCTAAAACAAATATGTAAAATGATAATGAGGAGTACAATTTGTGTTATATGTTAATAATGTACAGAATTAATCGTAAAATATAGAAATGTTTACGCTCATGTCTTATAACATTGTATGTCATTTTGCAACTGAAATGTAATAAACTCAAATGCTCTGTAAATGAAATAAAATGCTTAACAGGTCGCACCTTTAAACGACCACAGATGTCGAACATTGAACATTTGGGCCAAGCATAAACACTACATTCAAGCTTGATACAGCTTTAAATTTGAATTGTGATTACATATTTAACACACCATATGTATCTAACACAGAATGAATGTGGTCAAAGAACGCAACAAATTGAAATTGGACCTATTGGTCAATATATAAGTTCAAGACATAATGCAAACATTTACAGCTAAAATTAAAAAACTATATGAAAAGGTTATATACCGGGAAGGTCTTTCTTTCAATGAGGGGAGCCACGATAATAAACTGAAGAACTATTTATAATTTGTGAAGTTGATACGGAATATTTGTCAAGTAGGTATTGATACCTTCCGGTAAACTTTATGAGAACAAAGACGAGACGTTCTTTGACTAAACCTTGTGTCATAAACTTGTAAGATTCTGTTCACACCAAAATTAACTTTCAGTAATCATGTTCACACCAGAAAATGATTTCAGCGTCATGTTCACACCAGAAACTGATTTCAGGGATTGTGTTATTGTGTACGGATAATACATCGGGAATAAACTTCGTAAAAAGGTAAGTTATATTGATCTCTTATAGCAAATTACTAGCCCATAGTTAGCGTATACGCCAATGAACATGAATTGTAATTAATTAATCTACAATATTACTGAATTAACTGTCATGGGGATTCAGTTTTTATGGGGAAAAATACTGCTTTAAAAAATACGTTCTTCTTTTCCGTAACATAATGTATAGATCTTTGTAAGGATGGTCACTAATTGTATCAGTTATAGATAAATATAACGGCATTTTCTATTCCCTGATAACATGAAATTTGTTGTCATGTATTTTATATTTAACATTACATTTAGTAATTGGGTTTTCCTGAAAGCAATTTCGGTGTGAACATAAATACATTTTAAAACGATTATCTTTTTCCAGACTAAATTATATCAGAAAAAATATATTGACAGCCTATACAGACACGAATACTTTCAAATTATGTTGTTACAACAGTATTGAAGATAAGACTGACCTGTTTGTATGCTTTATTTTCCGTTATGTCTGTCACTGCTGAAATTAATTTCTGGTGTGAACATGATATGTCTGACTACCGGTAAGATCATTCTTTCAATGAGGGTAAGCACCATAATACATTGAAGAACTACTTCAATAATATTGATTGACTAGTAAATTAATCTAGGTCCAAAAAGCTTGAATTTGCAGTTCGGACTATATTCAGATAGTACACTTTAAATCTTTTTTTAACTTTTTCAAATCAACTTGGATTTTCATCAAACTATACAGCTACCTTGGTAACATATTGATCTTACTGAATCAAAGGTCATTATGTAGTTTGGTGTATTGCTGTCAAATTTAATCTAGGTAAAAAAAGCTAGGATTTGCAATTTTGGACAAAATTCAGCATTTCAGATAGTACACTTTAATTTTTTTTATAACTTTTTCAAATCAACTTGGATTTTCATCAAACTATGCAGCTATATTAGTAATATATTGGTCTTACTGAATCACAGGTCATTATGTAGTTTGGTGTGTTGCTTACAAATTTCTAGGTAAAAAAAGCTAGGATTTGCAGTTTGGGCAAAATAGAGATAGTACACTTTAATTTTTTGTTATAACTTTTTCAAATCAACTAGGATTTTCATCAAACTATACAGCTATCTTAGTAATATATTGATCTTAATGAATCATAGGTCATTATGTAGTTCGGTGTATTTCTGTCAAATTTAAGGATTAAATTAATCTTGGTAAAAAAAGCTTGAATTTGCATTTCTGACTATATTCAGATAGTACACTTTAAATCTTTTTATAACTTTTTCAAATCAACTTGGATTTTCATCAAACTATACAGCTACCTTGGTAATATATTGATCTTACTGAATCAAAGGTCATTATGTAGTTTGGTGTATTGCTGTCAAACTTAATCTAGGTAAAAAAAGCTAGGATTTGCAATTTTGGACAAAATTCAGCATTTCAGATAGTACACTTTAATTTTTTTTATAACTTTTTCAAATCAACTTGGATTTTCATCAAACTATGCAGCTATATTAGTAATATATTGGTCTTACTCAATCACAGGTCATTATGTAGTTTGGTGTGTTGCTTACAAATTTCTAGGTAAAAAAAGATTGAATTTGCAGTTCGGACTATATTCAGATAGTACACTTTAATTTTTTTTATAACTTTTTCAAATCAACTAGGATTTTCATCAAACTATACAGCTATCTTAGTAATATATTGATCTTACTAAATCATAGGTCATTATGTAGTTTGGTGTATTGCTGTCAAATTTAAGGATTAAATTAATCTAGGTCCAAAAAGCTTAAATTTGCAGTTCGGACTATATTCAGATAGTACACTTTAAATCTTTTTATTACTTTTTCAAATCAACTTGGATTTTCATCAAACTATACATCTATCTTGGTAACATATTGAACTTACTGAATCAAAGGTCATTATGTAGTTTGGTGTATTGCTGTCAAATTTAATCTAGGTCAAAAAAGCTAGGATTTGCAATTTTGGACAAAATTCAGCATTTCAGATAGTACACTTTAATTTTTTTTATAACTTTTTCAAATCAACTTGGATTTTCATCAAACTATGCAGCTATATTAGTAATATATTGGTCTTACTGAATCACAGGTCATTATGTAGTTTGGTATGTTGCTCACAAATTTCTAGGTAAAAAAAGATTGAATTTGCAGTTCGGACTATATTCAGATAGTACACTTTAATTTTTTTGATAACTTTTTCAAATCAACTAGGATTTTCATCAAACTATACAGCTATCTTAGTAATATATTGATCTTACTAAATCATAGGTCATTATGTAGTTTGGTGTATTGCTGTCAAATTTAAGGATTAAATTAATCT